TGCAATCAATATGGCTGCGTGGGATGCACGATTAATGTTTGAACTGTTAGATTGTTCTTTCATCATCATCTAGCAGTGATGAAGATGATGATATATTATTTATATCATATGAATATTATATTAATTACTAATAATATATAATAATTAATATTAATTTTAAGATTAATAAATTATAATATATATTGTGAATATTATTAATTTAATTATAAAAACATTTATAATATATTCTTTTTATAATTCGTATAATTATATTATATTATATTATATATATATATATATATATAGATATATATATATAATATATATATATATATATAATAAATATATAAATAAATAAATATATAATTATATTCTATTATATATATATATATCCCAGCAAACACAATATATAAATGTTATATACTTAAGCATGTTACATGTAACGTATATGTTAGTTGTAATTTCCCACTCATAGATGTAACATTTTTAATATTACATATATTACATTGTAGTTATATTATCATATTATATCCCAAGATAGCACTGACTTATCAATACATCAATGTGCTATTGGCATATAATTACAATATAACTACAATGTAATATATGTATATTAAAATGTTACATCTATGAGTGAGAAATTACAACTAACATGGATGTTACATGTAACGTACACGTTATATTACCTGTTATATTCCGTTTTATTATAGCAATGTAACAATTAGATATTGGTGTTTGCTGGGATATATATATATATATAGATATATATATATATATATATAATAAATATATTTCCTCCATACATATAAATATATTATATATAACTGATATGATTATATATGAACCCTTATAATTTAACTCTTGTTCGCTTGGATCGAGAGTTAAGTTCAATAGGTCATTATTGACCTTAAAATTAATGTTAAATCCTTCCTTCAGGGCGACAAATATGCACAGAACTGCACTGAGAGTATACCAGTATGTTTAGCTGGAAGCGCAAGAAATTCGCACTTTTAGTGCACTCGGACAGTGCCATCTAAACTCAACGAGTTTTCGGTGCGCACTCAGTGCTACCCAGTGAAAAACGATATTAGTTATCATACGCAAATTCATCTAGTGATTTAACGTAATACCGATACGCTAAATTCAATTTATCAATTTTTGCGTAAGCTGCCGAAAAGTCGCATAGTTACAACAATTGTATTTATGCGATTTGCGTATAATTTCATAATTTGCGATGTGTGCTAAAAAAATAATTAACCAAATTCGGGTAAGAACAAATTTAGAAATAAAATTATCCATTCAATTTAGATATAATTCATCGTTTGCACAATATAACGAAATAATTTTGAGATTATCTCTGCTAAAAATTATTTTCAGAATGTCTTATAACAATTTTTGAATTTTTTTTTGAACGATGTGTTAATTATACATATAGAAAATCTTTAAATTTTAAAAACTTTATGAATTGATGCATCTTTAAAAAATGTTCAAAAAAAGGATGCTAAAAATTGTTCTGAGAATTTCTAAAAATTAATAGTATTAACTAATTCATTATGTATTAGCACTTGAGTATTTGATTGCTGAACTGTATGAATGAAACCTGTTAAAATAATACTTTTATTTCTTTATTTACATATTTTCTTATTTATTTATTATTATTTATTATTTACATATTTTTTATTTTACACGCTGCACCTTATCCATTTACTTCATTATTACATACTTAACCTAGGGGTCGATTGTGTAATTTTTTCTAAAGTAAAAATGTGAAAAGTGAAAAATTTCTTCCAATCACACATCGATTTTATCTTAAAATCAATGCGTGATTGGTGGAAATTTTTCACTTTTCACGTTTTCACTTTAGAAAAAGTTACACAATCGACCCCCTAAGCTATGATTACGCACATTTTACGATAAATACCAGGTACCTAATTTACATGGCGCGTTTTTAGCAATACGCCTAAATAATAATAACCAATAGAAAATCGATTTTAGTATTTCTGTTGTGTTCTACAACAGAAACTCTAATCTTTTGTCACGCCCGGACGATGGTTCCTTTTCTCTTCCTACGCTAGGCTAGGGAGAAAAAAGGGCGCTCTCTATTTTTTGCGGGGCAATTTGCTTACACCGGCTATACCCCAGGGACGCCGAGAGCTAGGACTGATGTTGGAGATCTAGGGGATGGGAAGGCACTAGGATGGGAAATTGGAGTCACTAGTAGACGTGGCGAAACCTTGTGTAAGATTCTTGAAGTTTTCTAAAATGGAGATTACTTCGTCGGCGGTCAAATCGTCCGTCATAAAATCACAAATGACGCCAATTAATGCTTTGAATAACAATTTTAACATAAACTCGTTTATAGTTCTACCGACAATTATGCAGTTCATTATAATTTAGAAAAAGGGATCAAAATTGTCCTCGGGGTATTTTATAATTTCTACTCTTAATTTTCCTTTGGGAATATAAAGATTTTCTACGAGGACTGCGAACAAATCGGCATCTATTAATCCCGTAGCTAAGTCAATTAATAGTCCAATAATAATATTAATAATAGAATAAAGACCTATTTTCCTGAGATTTTGTACAGTCTTATCCGAAAATTCAGGTTTTATTTGGAATAACGAATTGGGAGTTTTATTTCATTTTATTAGTATTTTATATAAGTATACAAATGTACTTAATTTAATTTTGCAAATAGGCTGTGTATTGGTCTATTTGCATATCGCTCTCTGGTAATTGGTCCTTTAGTCTCGTACTTAAATCGATAAGTGATAACTCTCCTTGTGAGGTATTTTCTTTAGGTTTAGATTCCCTATTTAATTCGAGGTAAGTTAATAGGTCTGAAGCGGCTGCCGGTAGATCTGGAGTGTGGCCTTCCGTAGGCTCAGTTTTAATTCTATTAAACGCGGGTGTTAAAGATGATTGTGAGTTGATAGAGTTAGGAGAAATGCTAGTCTTCCAGAAGCTGTGCAATATGTATCGAGAGAACGAAACAGTCTCGATTGTTTTGATGTGAGGTTTATTGGCAATCTGTTCGCGCGTTAACCAACGCAGGCACGCGTCTGCGTGCTTTGCACGGGTCTTTACGCCGGCTCGATGGTTTCGTTTATTTCGCCGTTCGTTTTTAGCTTTCCAGTTGCTCATCTACAATGGAGTTAGAATGCGTCTAGATCAAAGTATTTATTTGGTTTTATGTAATAAGGGGAGATAAATGGGTAGTTCTCGGGAGGTGAAGGAAGTTTGATGGTGGGAAATGAGGCAAAATCATCAAGAGCAGAAATGTACTGTTCGATGATTATAAAAGAATAAATAGAGCAGGCGCGAAATAATCAAGAGCAGAACGCAGTACTCAATGATTATTAAAGCATTGACGAGACGAAAAAAAGGTGCTCGACAATAGAAAAAGAAGGCGCAAAATCGTCAAGAGCAGAACGCAGTGCCCGACGATTATGAAAGAATAGAGAAAGAAGGCTGAAAATCATCAAGGGCAGAAGACAAATTTTTGCACTGCTCGATGATTATAAAGAAATAGTAAAAAAGGCTGAAATCATCAAGGGCAGAAGACAAATTTTTGCACTGCTCGATGATTATAAAGGAATAGAGAAGGAGGCTGAAAATCATCAAGGGCAGAAGACAAATTTTTGCACTGCTCGATGATTATAAAAGGAATAGAGAAAGAGGGAGAATAATAGTAGGATGATAATTATTGATCTAGCGCGACTTCTGAATAGGATTCAAATTCTCATGCAAGTAATATGTTAGAGAGATCTTTGTTAGTGTGAAAGGTACTTACCTTACGTTGGATGAACTTTTATATACCGTCGCTCTGCAGCACGTTCACCTGCCGTCACCCCCTTAGAAGACCTCGGTCGGGATGCGCGTAGTGAAATCAAAAGTACACAGATTCTAGTGGTTTAAAGTTCTTTATTATAACTCTCTTTACTTTACAACTATGCGCGATCAAAAATTAATAAAGAAAGTCAACGCCGTGACGGCGAACACGTGACAAAGTTTCGTATAGAAATTTAGAGTGACACAATGAGATGCAGTATCTAATGTGTCGTATAATATGCCGCGCAGATGCTGGGACCGCAGGGTTTATATACCCATCGAAATCGGAAAAAGTCTTTGTACTTTGCGCTCTTTGGTGGGGGTTCCTTCGTAAACTGTATCTCGAGATCATCGGTGCAAGTGATACGTGTGGAAAAAAAGGAGGAGAGCCAATGGAATGTCTAGGAGAGCAAGAGTTCCAAATAGAGGCAGAATTTATGACATGCATATGGGCTTCAGCGTGTAGGGTATCGAGGTGATGCGGTATGGAGGGAGAGTGGATAATGATTCGGCCAAGATACAGATTTCAAGAAACGTCGAACAGTAGCGACCCAGTCAGAAATGTAACCTTGATTCAAGGTTGATTCAACGTCGATATGGTTGACAGCTAGTTGAGTCGATAAGAAAGTTGATATTACTGCAATATCAATCATCCAATCAGATGAAGTGCAACGTTGATTCAACGTTGATCTCTTTAACCGAAGTCTAACTCGTTATGAACCAATCCTGATTAGGTTTAACGATTTAAGTTTCGGTTATTAAAGTGAGTTGTGGAATCTGGCCTAAATGATTCAATTTATAATCGCTTAAAAAATTCTTGCGGGCCCGTGATTGAACAGCGCGTCAGAAAAGCTGTGTGTGTTATACCCTTAAGTTGCGTCGCTACGATCGTAGATCGGGGGTAATGTATGATATATATGTATGACCATCCGTTAGAGTGAATGCGCACGTTGCGGATATTGCTTTTATGTTACAAGTGTATTATCGCATTTTTAATTATCACAATGGATATTGACGTTACTAAGCGGGTAAGTACTATTTTTCTTACACTTGATTGTTATTATTTTTATATAAAATAATAATAGGATACAAAATATAGGCGCGCGGTTATTAAGTGTTTGTGACAACGTAACCTATAATAAACATTTTATCTGTATTTTGATTTAGAGTTTTTATATTTAAATTTTTAATTCTGTACGTTGCTTTCCACGTATTTGTCAGATAAAGTGTGTAAAAAAGTATTTTTGCTTTGAATAATAAAAGGTAGCAGTTGGATATATATAATCAGTTCTATTCTATTGTTTCTATAAACAAAGAAAATAGTTTTATACATTTTTTTATCACATGTCAATTATTTCATTTTTTGTTTATATATATAGTGTTATAAACGTAGTTGGAAGGAAAGAGCTGAGACCATAGTTATAAAAAGGTTGAAAGTTAAAGAGCGACAAGATTATATTTTAAAAAGAGTTAATAAATTATTAGAATCAAAATGTAGACTCAAGTGCAATAGTTTGAGCAACAGCAATTTGTCAATTTCAAGAGACTCTGAAGAAGAAAATTTGCAACTTAATGAATTAATAGATTTAAATCATTATTCTCAAAGTGAACTTGAGATTCAAGAAGATATAGCTTTCGAAAGACTTTCTAATGTCATGAGTTTTGATGAAAATATAGATAAAAGTGAAAATAGAGATGAAAATGAATGTATAGATGAGAGTGAAAATAGAGATGAAAATGAAAATATAAATGAGTGCAAAGGTATAGATGAGAGTGAAAATACAGATGAAAGTATATATGAAAGTGAAAATACGAATAAAAGTGAAAATGGAGATGAAAATGTTAATACAGTTTTTGAAAATGATCAGCAAAAGGAAAATTATGTAATATTAGCTTTACGTCAATGGGCTTTATCAGGTGGTGTTATTTCTATGTCAAAAATAGATGAATTACTTGCAAAACTTCAACCTGTATTTAATAATCTGCCTAAATGTTATAAAACTTTATTGAAAATTGATGACGATATACATATTACTCACTTTGAAAATAGAGGACAATTTTGGTATCGAGGAATTAAAAATTATTTGGATGGGCTTAATTTAAAAAAGTACTTGCAAGTAAAACAAAAAATTGAAATAGATATTAATACTGACGGACTCCCTCTTTTTCGAAGTTCAAAGAAAAAATTTTGGCCAATATTAGGACATCTCGTAGGAACTAAAAATTATCCATTCATTATTGCTATTTATTTTGGGAATTCTGATCCAAATAATGTGAAAGAGTTTTTGCAAGATTTTGTAACTGAAGTTGATAATCTAATTTCTAATGGTTATGTACGATATGGAAAAACTTTTATTTTTTTAATTAGACATTATATTCTTGATGCTCCAGCTAGAGAATTAATAAAATGTTGTATAGGCCATAATGGATATGCTTCATGTGAAAAATGTACAGTATGGGGAGAACGATTAGATTATAGGCAAACGTATATTGATTTACATGCTCCTTTAAGAACTGACGAAAGTTTTAAAAATCAAATGCAACCTCGCCATCATAAAGGAGTATCACCTCTTCTTCAACTTAATACCAAAATGGTCTCTCAGTTTCGATTAGAGCCTATGCATTTGGTATATGAAGGTGTGTTTAAGAGATTATTAGAAGCATGGAAGAATTGGATAAGTCCATGGAAACTACACTGGACTGTTGTAAACAGAATATCTGATAGGCTGATTCTGTTAGCCCCTTCTTGTCCTCAGGACTTTGCTCGAAAACCCCGATCTTTACATGAATTATCATTTTACAAAGCAACGGAATTCCGTCGTTTATGTTTATACGATGGCATAGCAGCTTTTGCTTCACATCCTGATATAAATATTTATAAGCACTTTCTATTATTGCATTGTGGAATTTATATTCTTACAAGTCCCATTCTTTATAAAAGTTTTAACGAGTATGCAAATACTCTACTCAGAACTTTTATCCAACATTCTATCACATTATTTGGAAAATTATTTGTTGTATATAATGTTCACTCTCTTTGCCATTTGGCACAAGAATGTATTGATCATGGTTGTTTAGATACATTTAGTGCCTTTCGTTATGAAAACAAATTAAAAATGATTAAAAGTAACCTCAAATCTGGTTTTAAACCCATTCAACAAGCAGCAAAACGTGAGCTAGAACAAAGTAAGAAAAACGTTGTACTTTTAGATTCTGATATAAATAACATTATTTTTTCAAAAAAACATAGAAATATCAATGAAAATATTTATGGTGAACAGTTTAAAAAAATTTCAGTAAATGATGTTATTTTTGAAGTAAATAATAGAGATTCATGCTTCAAAACAAGTGAAGGTAAAATTGGAGTCCTGAGAAATGTCATTCGCAATCAGGATAATATAATTTTTGTTGGCAATATTTTTAAAAATATTACAGATTTTTATACATATCCTTTGCATTCGTCTGAACTTGGCATTGTCAAAGTATCTGATTTAAGTGAAGAAAGATTGGTATTTTCTATAAATAATATTATTGCCAAATGTTGGCTCATTCCTATAAAAGATGAATATGTTTGCATACCTTTACTTCATACTATGTCCTTTTACAAATAGAATTTTGATATATTATGTCGTCTATATTGTGTATCTAATTGTAAGTGTATGTAAAGTTAATTCTTTTATGTATTTTATTGTTAGAAAAATTTTAAGTCATTACATATCAAAATCATTATTTTTTCAGTTTGTCGTTTTGAAATTTATAAATGAAGATGTTGATTGCGACGAGGAAGACGATTCTTTATTTGAAGTTGGTCTTATTAAATGGCTAAAACAATTAGATGAAGAAACAAATGCAAAAATTTCTTGGCCTCCTAAATCTGAGCAGAGTACTGCAATTAAAAAAGAAATAGATGCACTTCCTTCATGGCCGATATATAATGTTACTGTTTTAAAATGTTATGGTATGTTGTTTCTTATTGCATATTTTTTGCTTATAAAAAGTTAATTGTCTTTTTAATTGTATTTCCTAGATACACTTTTGGCTGCACGAAATGCACGAAATGGATATATTATGTCGTCTAATTATGAAACAGAGTGTGAATTTGGTCGTGGTAAACGTAAAAAAATTAAGCGGCAGTTTGCATGTGATGAATCTCTCTCGACAGAAGTGACAAAAAAGAAGAAATTTAAAAATATTTCAACTTCTGATGATTCAGATTTTGATAGAGATGATAGTGCTATAAAAAAATATAAATTTAAACATGCTCCTTCTCCGCCACTTATCTTGTTTCGATCAGAAAATAATAAAGTAAAACAATATCAAAACAATATTATCACAGATAGCAAAACAAAAAAATTTGAAAGATTACAGAAAAATAAACAATTAGAAAAAAAATGACGCAATGTTGACATTTTCTAAAAATCATAAATCTAAAAAGGATCTCTTACTTACAAAAATATGTCAAGCAAGGAAGGTAACTTCAGTTACGGATAACAAAACAAAAATCATAGAGATTGCAAGAGAAAAACAGAAATGTTTAATAGAAGATAATGTAAGTATTTCTATACGTCGCACATGCAATGTGATGTAAGTCATAATTTTATTGGTATAAATAAAGTCTTGAAATGTTTTCATGTGTAAAGATGGATTCTGATAATGCTACAGAAGAAAATATTGATCCTAATATTCCACGAGAGGACGATTTTTCAATGAAAGTTCAGGATATGTCATCAAATAAAGATGTATCTCCAAGTACAAGTGCAAGATCGATAAATATAGAGACACCAGGTACATCAAAAGATTACTGTATTTATGAAGCAAATATATCTGATGAAAATCATCATCTTCAATATGCACTTCTCCATCAGAATTACGTCAAAAGAGTCCAGTTACTTCACATGTGACAGCTGTAACTACACCGAGTTCATCTTGTAGATCAAGTAACATATATGACTTTGTACCTTTTAATTTTTTCTAAAGCATCAAATATTACGTTTTGATTTTCTTACAGGTAGTGTATTAGATGTGTCTAAAGCGACCTTTGATATGAAAGCTTTTGAAAAAAAGATGTATTCGTTAAATCAAGAAATTAGTAGCAAATTAGATATGATTACTATGAATTTATGCAGATTAAATCGCTTTCTTCTACCACATGAGAAAAGAATAATAAGACCAGCAGATCTTCCAGCACTTCCATTGACAACAGAGGAAGAATTAGAAAAATTTGAAAAATATTTAACGAAAGATGATAATGCTGGTGCAACTGTAAATAAATATTTATCGCTTTTATTATATATATATATGTATATTTGTTTTTAATATTATTAATATTTAATTTTCTTTGCTTAAATTTTGATTTTTCCAGATTTGTTACATGAGTCAAATTATTGGTCCTAAAGACAATATTAAGGAAGCTACATATAAAGTACTAAGGAAACTTATTTCAAACACATTGGCAGCAGACTTTACTTTAAAAAGTGGTAAACATTTATCCAAAAAATGTTTCGAAAAGCTGATGCTGTATGAAGTTGTTCAAGGTAAGTAAACTTATATTTATTTCCAACTAAGAATCGTTTCAAATAAGAGAATAATATAAATATAAATTAATCAATAAAAATAAAATAAAAATTTAATATAATAAAATAATTTAAAAAATTTAATAAAATTTAATAAAATATAAAAATTATTGCATTTTTAGGTGCCATTTTAGACAAAAGGCCAGAAACAGAAATCCCAGAGATTGATGCAGCTACTTCACTGTGGCTAAAGCAAGCACCTTGGCGTCGCCAAGATGACGGCAGTATGGGGAAAAGAATAAAAAAATAAGATTATTTTTGTGTTTTTTTGTTTTAAAATTTGACGATTTTTTTATTGTCATTTGACGATTTTTATAGCATATTTATGGCTGAACTATGCTCTGCTCTATATTTAAAACAACAAAATGTCTGCGACAAAAATATCTATTTTTTTATGCGTAACGTGAAATCAATTTCAGTTTTATTTTTTTTCTAATTTTATGCGATTGCGAAAAATGATTTATACTTTCGATTGTTTTGAAAAAAAAATGGAATTTTATTTTGTCGCTATATTAATATAGTATAAGAGACTTTTTCTTTTTTTTTGTTTACAAGCATCAGGACTTGTGTGTGCAATATTACTTTCGTTATCAAATTTATAAGTTTTCAGTACTTATTATATGTGTAAAAGTTAGTAAAACACGTAGCTGTTCTGCAATTATTTGTGATTTTTTGTTAAACGGTATACTAAACGCTTTATTCTTATAATATGTTAAAATTTGAAATAGTTTACAGATATAACGCATTGTTAATAAATATATATTTTATAATGCAATGTAGTTTAATTATATTCAACTTTGTATAATAATAAATAAAAGAAAAATAAGATTTGCACTTTTTGTTTTTAGTATTTTTACCTTAAAAATAATAAATAATAAAGTATACTATTTATATATATATATATATATATATATATATATATATATATATACCATCAAATTTCGACGTTGAAACGACGTTGAAATAATAATTGAAAATTGGTTGATATTTGGTACGAGATCGACGTCGAATCGATCAAAATTTCGACTATACTTCGACATCAGATTTCAACGTTGATTCGACGTCGAGTCAACTATACATTTCTGACTGGGGAGGGTTTTCGGCAAAAAAGAGTGAGAATTAGGTCGCCTTAAAACTAACGGATATAAATTCAATCAACATGATTATTTTAAAGAGGTATTCAGAGAGTTTGCGCATAGATGTGATTATTTCTTACAAA